CATAAACATTATAACCACTTTTTGAAAATAAAGAATTGTACAAGACTTTGTTTCATTACCAGCAGTGCAGTTATCTGACTGACAATTGCTGCTTTGGCTGCGTTCCCTGTCTGCCAGAGAGGTAACTCCCTTGTAAGGATATACAGTTAAACAGGTGCAAAAGACAATATGAAAATTGTATGTGGATACATCACTAGAGATGTTGGATGGCATGATTCACGTTCGTTTCCTGGAGATGTTTAAAAACTTTCTGAAAATATTATGATAAAGCAGACAGAATTGTTCTCTGGCTAAACAAGTGACTGGCCCAGAAAAGTCTAGGATTTGTAAGATGCAAAGTGTGAAATGAAGGATTGCACCATCCTAGCCAAGTTAAATTCAGACTTTTGCCGAGTCTTTAAAGCTGTTTTTGAAGGACAGGATGGAAAAGTCATTAAAAACAAAAGCGATGAAAGAAAAGAAAAGGAAACCCAGAATAAATAACCTCAAGTATCTTCTGCATGACCCTAGACACCCGGTAATATTACCTACTCTCTCAGATGCTGAGGGTCATGTTCAGACCACATAAAATGCAATTTTAAAATATAAACAGAAAAATGAAATTAATGGAGAAAGAATCACATAAAAAAAAACCCCAAAACTAAATATAGAGAGAAGCAAACAGTGTGGGATGTGTGACAAGGTTTAAAAAACGTAAAGATTTCTGTTTTCCTTGTTTACTACTAGGAAACAATAGCATGAAACCCCTAAATTCAGAAATCATACATCTGAATTTTCTGAATTTTACATCATCAGTGAATTATCTCAAACCCATTCTTGACTTTAATGTTGCTGCTGTCCTTACCAGACATACCTACCCTGGATACTTTGTCTTACTGTATTAAATCACACAAATATTGGTTTTGTTTTTCATAGATTCATAAAATCATTTAGGCTGGAAAAGACCTTTAAGATATTCAAATCTAAACCTTATCAATATTTGCTATTCAGTTTTTCCACAGAGAAGCAAGATGACCCCCATCATTCCGCAAATCAGTGGTAGCAGTGGGAAGAGAAGTCCTGCGGATCGAGTTTCACCAAGCTACGACTGGCAGAATGGAAGAACTGGATCACACCTTGACTCATGATTATGCTTTATTAAGTCACAGTTTAATTAAACCATAGACAGACTTTAAACTTTGGAGAGGGACACATAACAGCGTAGTTTTCTAGCACCTCTTAGAAAGCTGTTGCAAATTTCCCATCTTCCTTTTAAAAACAACTGCACACAAACCCACTAAATATGACTGCAGTACAACCAACATTCTGACTGATGACAAAGGCCAGAGGTTTTGGAGAAAACAAGGGTTTTTTCAACTTTTTGTAGTTAAGAAGTATATAGATGACTTTCAGGAGAAAAGGATACTTCCTTCATTGTCTTCTGAATTAATCTGAATCTCAATGAGTACTCAACAGGCCTTTATTATTAATTTCATTTAAATTACATTAATGTAATCAGGAAGACAAGTGAATTGTTTGTAGCGAGACATGAGCTGTCCTTGCTCGCTACCTGAAAGAATTTTACAGTAAGCCACAGCTACTCTCCTACTGTATTTGATACGGGTTTGAGAATGTTTCAGGGGATTTACTGTTTTAGTACCTGTTTGTCCCTTTTTAACAACCATAAGGTTATGGGTTTTAAACAGAGATTAATAATTCAGGAAAGCTCTGAATTCTTTTATGAAAACTTTAACCAGGAACATGACATTTCTTTTCAAACAAGAGCAGCTTCTAAATTTCTTTTGCCTTCACCAATTTAGCTTGATTTGTTACTGCTTTTTGACTAATGCCCTAATTCTCCTAACCAATTTTCACTCCATTGCATAGTCTGTTATCAATAGAAGTTTCAATATTATGGAAATTATACACTTTCTAGGCAAGTGGAAAGAAAAGGAAGGCTTTAAAGGTACGTTTACTCTGCCATCAAAAAGAGAAATGTGTCCCTGTATGTGAATAATGTTAAACTTAGACCTATGTTAGGTACTGGCTATACCTTAGAAATAATAGCATGGACTATGTCCTAGGTCTGCTCCTCAGGGTCTCAAGGGAATTTATAGAGCTCTCACTGATACACATTTCCATGGTTTTACTGATTGGTATGTGAACTAGTAAGATTAAAAATTGTTCAGGAATACCTCTGCAGGCTGAAGTACTGACAGTTGAAGCTGTCATGCTCTTCCTAGCTGCAAACTAAGATGTTTCTACATGAAGCAGCAACAGAAATTTACAGAAATGATGGAGATTACACTCCACATTACACTAAAATACACACAAAAAAAAAAAAAAAAATTACACATATAGTGAAAAATAAGTATTGCAATCAAAACCAATCAGATATGAATGATAGCAGATATCATGAGATATCAAAACTGACTCAAAATAAAATTTAGGAACAGGTGACAATTTGAAAAAACTGCTCTCCAAATTCACTTTCTCCGGTTCATCTCCAAGCTGAAAACCTAGGAAAAACTTGTGGGCACTAGCCCACTAGCCAGCTGATCAAAAGTAGCCACAATAACATTCAAGCATTTGTCTGTCTCCAATCTCGCACCAATTTTTTAGGGCCTCTGTAACCACCTGCAGGACTGACTTTGACTTGAGACCTATGAAATAAAGGTGCTTTCTGAGGCAAATGCTCTTTAGACATCAAACCTTGGTTCATTTCCTTTATTTTAAACTTATCCATCACAGTGACATTTCTGATACCCAAACATGCTCTTTCTGCAGCTACACTCTCCTGAGTTCACTGTCACTTTTTTTTTTTTTCATATCTCCCATTCCTGTAGTGCACTGCAGTACTGTCCTTTTGGACTAATGGTTTGGTTCTCTCTTCTATCCCTTTCATCACCTCAAATATCTCTTTATTGAAATAAAATGCAGATGTAACATTCATACATTATATTCTACATGCAAAGATTCTGTAGCCAGATAGGTAAAAAATAAAGTAACTAGGGAACAGGACACCTGCAAAAAAGCCCTGAAAAAATATTTATTTAGTCACCTAAACAAAGAAGGCAAATAATGAAATAATTGGTTCTCAAAACTAATTTTCAGTAAAAAAAAAAAAAAAAAATCTGCCACTAGCCTCTGAAATTTTATGATGAAGAAGTGAAAATAAAAATAAGCATTAACTCCAGATTCTTATCCAAACATTAGCTAAATTTCCAAAATTACCTTTCCAGATTTGCAGCAATATTTCTGTGAGTTTTTGGTGTGCTTTGATTAGAAAGCACACCAAAAATGCTTGAAAAGCCATTAGAAATTGTAATTAACTCTAGCATCACCTGCCTCTTTTCAGTCTTTTCCTCTTTTATTTTTTTTCTTTTTAATATATGCTTCCATCTTTTACTGTGACGGTAAATTCATAACTATGTTTTCAAAATGAGTATTTGACAAACTAGTGAGAGGAGCTGGTTAACCACAGTATGAACCTCTCCATTCTTCTATTTATATCTCCTAAAGTCAGGAGTCTACACTGCTGACTGTAAGACAGTCCTTTGATATTTCCTGGGTATGTCTACAGCCAGATTAAAAACATCTGCTGGACCAGGCAGATTTATCCACAGTTCGGCCAAAGCTCTTAATCAGATTCAATTTCTTCTTGTCCTGGTCCCTTTAATTCTCTCCTTATTGTCTGCCTGTATCTTAACTTCAACACTTCATCTTCTCTTCCAAACCTGGAAATAGCATTTCAATTCCCAGATTCAAACCTTAGATCCATTTCTGCAGCTAATACAAAAGCTGTCTGCACCTTCAAAGATCTCAGGTCCACAGAAACTTTCCATTCTATATGCAGCTGCCATAAACATCAGATGGTAGATTGTTTTCTGTCCTCCTTCCTTATTTTACACCAGTGACTGGACAATAATGTCCCAGTCTTCTTGTATCTAATGCCTGTGGTTTGAACCTTTCACTTCAAATTATTTTCTCTATCTGATTTTCTAAATCCTACCTAAAATCCCATTTCTTCTACCACTCTTTCAATTCCACAGTCACAAATGTAAGATGACCATGTCAAAGTTCATTATTTTTTATTTGTCTCACTGTATTCACCTCTTCCACAGGTATCATCACCTAACTTTGTCTCGCTGTATTCACCTCTTCTACAGGTATCATCACCTAACTTTACCTCCCCAGAACAATTAATTTTAGTTAAGTATCTTTTCCCGGGGTCACAGTGAGAGATATAGTCCATATTTGGTTTCATTGATAATGATATGAAACTCCACAGAAAATGAATGCTTAACTCTAGAAAAGGGAAACAGATATAATTCTATAGTAAAGCAAAAAAGTGTGATTATTGAGTTCTAACAGTTTAATTGGAAGTCTTATGACATTGCCTTTCTCAAAGTTTTAGCTCTTAAAGGTGGATTATCCAAGAACTGTTTCTGGTTTGTTTTTTTGGGTTTTGGGGTGGTTTTTTTTGTTTTTTTTTATTTTTAATTTTGTTCTAGAAGGCCTTTGACAAGGAGCTCAGACAAATCTTTTTTAGACAGTGTATCAATCCCACAGCTCAAAGCCAGCAATATCTAACCTTTATGTACATTAAAAATAGTTTGGAAATATGACCAGAGTGAAATTGAAAGGCTTAGCAAGTAAAAGCAGATTAAAAAAAAAAAGTCAGATTTACTTAAAAGTACTTTTAGCTATGTGGAGAATTTTAGCTGTGTGACTCATACTTGGGAAACCTTTGAGATGGTAATAGTCAAAGACAGGTATCTTCTGATTTAAGAACTGACACAACAAATCTATTCACTGAAAACCCCAAACTGAGTGTATACACATCGGCAGTCTTCAATATCAGAATGATAGAAACTATAGATCCTGCAAAAAAGCAAGGCGGGCCCCAACCCCATGCACTACAGCCCTTTTAATTGCTCCCAGGCTACCCCAATGCTCGACCGAGGCTAACATTTATCAGTGGCCCCGCTCACAGGTGTAGCGGCCCCACGGGCACTCACCACCGGCCGGTGCACATCCCAGAACGCTCGCTCCTGGCTGTCAAGAATCTTCCTCTCTATCTTGTCTCTCTTCTTGTCAACTCTATTGATGTGTTAATGGATATTGAAAAGAAACTGTTAATGACAGTATTTTTAAACATAAGAAGTGTCTAATCACTTTTTCCTCCCCTTCTCCCTTCCAAAAGCATGGAAAACCAAAACTCGTCTTCAAAGGAACTTACTTTGCTTGTGCTTCAGCTTGCATAAAAATAAACTCCCATTTCCGAGCAAATGCTCTCTGTAGTCTGGCCAAACTCTCCTGAAAACACATCACAAGTTTAGTGGGTTAGGTTGTAAGTTACTTAATATTTAATAACTTTTAGCTTGTCTTTTCCCCCTTCCCTCATCCCCCCCTTCTGGATGTAATACAAGTCATGATATCTGTGCCAGCGTAAATTCACCTAACTTACCTGATATAAAGTCTTTGCTTGACACCAACAGGAGGGGATACTAGATTTACCTACTTCTGAATACCCCAACTATTTCTGTTTTGAAACTGTGATGACAAGTGTGGTTGCAACCTTCAGCAGAACATGGAAGTTCTGAAGCATTTTTATATACTGGATGCTGGCTGAGTAATTTTGTAATAATACAAAGAAATTCTTGTTTTGAAAGTACCTAATACTGAAAGATAACAGCAGTACTTTCCATATTGGATGATCCACATGAAAATTCCCATCAGTCATCTCTGCAAACAGTTTGCATTGAGAAATGCTGGCTGCCTATCAATTTATTTAAAATACAGCAATAAAAAGCTATCAGTATTTGAGCAGTATAGGAATCTTGCAAGACTTCCACAGTTATCCCCAATTAAAAAAAAAAATACAAGAGACTGTAGTTCTTCACTACTGTACAGGAAATGTATATATCCTACAGCCTACTAATAACAACAGGAAGAAGATTTGTAAAATCTTAGCAAAATTATTTCCTCCAGTGATGCTGGAACAGCTTCACTGTCTGTAACAGAGCTTTTCCAACCTCCCCCAGCTTAAATGGCAGCAGTATGCAGTCTGTTAACATGAAGAAGGGCAGCGTTCTTCTCTTCCCCCCAAAAGACCGCAGTTACCTTTGTGCACTGCTTTTACTGAGACTAAATGAAAAATTGTCTCTAGATTTCCCAACAAAAAGTGTTGCTTTAACTGTATTTCTATGCATTGCAAATGTATCTCTACAACATACTTACCGAAAATAAAGACTGGAGAGGAGACTTTCTAGAGATCTTGTCAATACCCGTAAAGGCTCTTGTGGATTGTATACTGGAGGTGAATTTTCTAATGCATTTAAGTATAAAATTATGCATACCCCACAGTGCAGTACACTGAAAAGCAAGCTTGTGTCAGAAGAAGCAATAAAGTGTGTCAGCATGGTGCTGCGGCTGGTGTATTTGGCATGTTGAGAGGCCTGGATGACTATCCTGCTATCATGTCACAGTAGCACAGCTGGACAGCTTTCAGCACAGAGCCAGGGCTGTTCATGAATTTTATGTTGACATTTTCATGAAAAATTCAGGAACTTTTGGGGGGATAGAGATGGAATTCAAGACATCTCTCTCTTTAGCGAGTGCCATCCTCATCAGCTAATCAAACTCCCTGTTTTTCTGGCTCTTCCTGACCCCAATTATTTAACCTTGCCTGGGGCACAGCACAACTTTCAGGGAGTGGGAAGTGCCTCTGGTCTGATCCTCTTTGTCTCTCATCTAACTGATGGGACAAGGGCTCAAGGGCTCAAGCCCCAGCACCACTTTAAAGAATGAAATTTTTTCCACACCTACCAAGTGCTCTTGAAAATGTTGCCAGAGATCCTTCATTCAAACCTTACACAGTGTAGAGTACAATTGCTTTCAAACACTCGTGGTGTATCTGGGATTTAGAACAGTTATTTCTGATCCTGGCATCGTGATCTGAGCAGAGTAAAATTAGAGATGGACCAAAATCTCGAATTTTGCCCAGCTAGCCTTCACTACAGTCTTTCAAACAGCATTTATGACTGAGCACTGACAGACCCTCATGCTGGCAAAAGTGGATAACTAATAAATTTTCACACATAATGCCTATAGTTCTCATGCTTAACATTATTTCACATGCTTATTAGGCTCAGCAGAGCAATTTACTTTTCCCCAGGTACTTACAGCTTCATAGTCTGCTAGCTCTAGCCTTGCTTTGTTTTGCATTGTCCGCTTGCAGAGGTAAACAGCTAGAACAGAATAAAAATAACACAGAATTTGCTCCTATCTCACAAACACAGCAGAGCAGAAATCTAGAGTCTTCATCTCTCACTGCTAGCTTTTTTGGTTTTGATTTCTTCCTGTATTCCAAAAAGCTTTAAATATCAGTGCTACCAGTATTGTAATTAAAATGATGGGTCAGATACAGAGATTCATTAAATAATTATAAAATCTGCTTTATGCAACAGATATCATATACAAAATGCATGAGATACTTGGGGTGAGGTTTAATGGCCAGGGAACTAGAACATTAAAGAAAAAATGGCAAAAACATTTTTTAAACTATGTGTGTACAACCCATAAAGTGTAAAAGTTTTATCAGGAGCTGCTGCTATATTAGTGAAATAGGTTTTTAAAGAATGTGTATAAATAGTTTTATTTTTTTTTACTTTATATTTGGAAATCACAACATTTCAGCCTAAGAAGAGTTTAGCTAAAAATTACTTCCAGATAAAATTCAAGTCTCATACAGGTTAGTCTGCTATAACCAATATTTAAAACAGAAAATAATGTGAGACCAAAATATGAAAAAATTATATCATGTATTAGACATAATGAGAAAAAAAATATTTAATCTATTTTATAGATCAAAAATCCTTCAGCAGAGATTTTCTGCCTCCACAACATTCAGAGCAGAATCTTAACAATAAAATGAAATACTGACAGCTAAATATGGAAAGGATGCAGGGATGAAAATGAAACAAGACTACATAAACAACACAGTGGTTTGCATCATACTGCTTGATCCTCAATTTTTTACGCACTCAATTACCCTTGAATAAAGTATATTTCCAATAGACTTTATTTAGCAACAAATACTCCAAATCAACTCTGAATATTGTACAACTTCCCTCACCAGAAAGAAAATGAGTGTAGCAGAATTCCTTATTGTGCAATATTTACCCACTTCATAACTTCAGAGCACCTGCTCATGTGTGAGATGGAGGAATCTTTTGATCAGTGTAGGTAAGAAAACCTTTATCTATGGTTTCTACAATCAGCAAAATGAGTTCGTATTTGTGGGTTATGGTTAGGAATCTTCCTGCTTTCTGACTGCCAGCTTTTCCACTACAGTAGCAAAGAGAAATAACTTCAGATAGGAACCTAGCTCTTGCAATCATTAGGAAGAAGGTAGTGCTTATTTTATATACCTTTGATTTTTAAGGTAGTCAATCCAATTATATTTTACAACTCCATGGAAACATTTATTTCTGACAAGTCACCTGCAAATGCATGCAAACCCACTTCAGCGGATGCTATTTCAGTGGAAATGATGATGAGCACTTCTAATAACTACAGCTGAAGTTACAGGTGTTACTTGATGTGAAATGAAGTTGTATTTTAATCCAGTTTTTGACACACACCACCCCCACCCCCCCCTCCGAATTTTGCGTGCATTATCTGGTCTATTTTCTTTCATACTTTTTCACTTTCCACTCCTGTAAGAAGCCACTGTTCCTTTCTTTATTCCCTGAAGTGCCACATCTCCTCTGGTTCCAAAGCAATCTATGTGTTTACAAAATATACAGATACAGACACAAATCCACATCACACAGCAAGTATAGCAGACAAATAGTTTATATAGCCTCAGTTTCCATGCATTTAATGCTTTGGCATGCAAGCTGAAATGTCACAAAAAGATGAGGGGATGAATTTTGGATTCTTTTTACTCAGGTTGCAGCCAAAATCAGCACAGTGGTCAGAGAATACTGGGGAGAGAGATGACCTTTGTCATTTAGCTCCTTTTCCAGTGAAGCATTTTCCTCTCTTTTCCTTCAAAATTGGTTATTTCATTGAACAACAACAACAACAAAAAAAAAACCAACAAAAAAACAAAACCCAACCCTGAATCCCTGAAAATATTGGAAATAAAATACATATTTAATAGGAATATGTAGAGAGTCCTGTTAATTCCAGGGGACAAATTTTATCTGGTCCAATTTTATCTGGTCCAAATTTTATCTGGTCCAGTCTAATACCACATGAACAGAAACAAAACAAACTCCTTGTTTTCTGCACTTAATTAACACTTGTAAACCACATTCTCAAACACTTGTAAACCACATTCTCACGGTGCTTGTATAGGCACTTTTAGTTAGTTTAGCACTTCCTTGAGCCCCACTGTGGGTATATTCTGGGATTAGCATCTCCTATCTCCAACAAAAATCATTGCTGCAGAGGTGGCTGGCTGTCCATCCTTCTGTCAGGACAGGTTTTAACAGAAATGCATCTTTAGATCACAGAGTTCTCAACACTGGTCGAACAACCACTAGGTCACCAAGAGCAGGAGAGAGGAATTAGCTTGCCACACTGTTAATCTAATATTGTGTCTAAGAAAACTCCTGTCTTCACTTTGTGACTGTACTGCAGTATTTTCCCTGCAGGGTTCTTTCAATGACCCTTTTGCTCCAACTCCATACCTAACAGGTCATACAAAAACTTTTGGTTTTTATTATGAGCACAGCTTAGCCAAGACTCAAAAAAATCATGTTCATCCCTCAGACTTTTTCCTCTGGAACATCCAGATTCCCTCCCCTTCAGGAGCCTAAAGGTTGTAATACCTGTGGCTTGGATTCTTCATGTCAGAAATGCTTCTATGTGCCAGTGTAGATAAGGCAGAATATGCCCAAAAAAGATTTAGTTATTTGGGGAATACCACATATCCACTAGTGTAGAAGAAAATAGTCCTGAAGGACATTCCTACTCTTTGACTCAATTTACTGCTATTCCTATGTGCTAACAATTGCATCTTTATAATAGAAGTCTGTGTTTGAGAATCTATTTAAGAGCTACTTGTCGTCACACTAGAAGCTGGCAGCAGCTCAGGAATTTGAGTTCACCAGTTCACACTCTCATTATATTCTTTGGCTTGCCTGTAATAAAATTCACTAGCACATTGGAAAGCTGGAAGAATGTGAAAATCACTCTCATTTTCAGCCAGAACACTTGAAGACACAGAGAAAAGAGGTTTTGTTCTTGTGACTTTTAGAGGAATGAGATCTGAAATGCAGATACTCCCATCTTTTGCACGTACCACTCCTTTTTTGCACCAAAACATGTGTGAAGTAATTGCATGTGTCCAGTAGCCTGACCTTGAACATCTGGGAAGGATGTCAGTCAGTTTGCCTCTCAAAGCAGTCATGAGCCTTCAGCATTTCAGAGAATTACAGTGTCTGCTTTTCTAATCCTATGATGAGCTGTCACTGTTTTTACAGCTTCATGTAGAAGTACAATCTGCAGGAAGGGTCTCCAAGTAAAGGATCTTCTATTTCACTATATAGTTCTCTATTTATCTACCTCATAAAGGTCCTGGTCAGGGCCCTCAGTACACCAAGGAGCTGTAGTTGCCCTGAGAAGCCCACCCAGGGTCTCCACTGAGGCCCCCTGCACTCAGGAGGTGTGTGCTTAAGATCAGCTACTTCCTCTGGCTCTGGTTTGAGCTACGTTGTAGCTACACCTCTTAGCAGCCTGTAAATGACCAGCTCTGCCCTGGCTTCCTGTCAATGTGGACATTGCTCCCAGCTGCACTGGTGCCACCCTCAGCCCTCATTTACCTTCCCTCGAAGAGCTACCTGCTCTTGCCGCTCCCTGACAAGGATGCTGAAAAATGCTCAATATATGGATGAATGACATGCAAGGAACAGGGTCTGATTAATAACCTCAATTTGCTAAATATGGACTGTCACATACACTCTTATTTTTAGAGCCAGTGTATTCTGATGGATTTTGCAATCAACATAATTGCCTCCACTAAAGTGATTTATATGTTAGATATTAGAGCTTGTGCTTTAGAAGTGACTGATTATCATGAGAAAACAAATCTGCCAATAATTTTAAAAGCAATATTAATACACAACATTTCATAATGAAAGATGGTCAGTGATGTTTCTAAACGGGCATTTGAACCACAAACCAGTTCTAAAACACACTTTGGTAGCTGTGCAGTAAATACAGACTACTCACTTGAAAATTCTGTTCAGGCATTCACAAAATGTGGGCAATGTGAGAGCTTAAAGTGAGATTGCAAAGTGTTCTAGTGAGAGTTGCATGAAGAGGGTGTCTGGGTTTTCCCTCTTGCAAGTTTTTAAGCTATTACACCCAAAATAACCCATTTTTATGATTAGCTTTGTTTCCTATTCTTGACTGTTCACTTCAAAGCTCCTAAGGAACCTATATAGATTTTTTTCTTTAAGTAAGATCATCTTGATAATGGCAGGTTTCATTCTAGAATCAAGAAACTGGACTGACTACATGTTATATTACACATACTTACTGAAAAAGAATAGAGCTTTCATCCAAAAGTTAAATGGGGAATTTAAGCTTGTTGTTAAATGGGGGCTAAATCTTCCCTCTCACCACAGCAGAGAAAAAGCCTCAGCTAAATTCAGTGGACGTACAACTGGATCTCTGAAGATCACAGATAATGCTACCTACACATCCACCACCATGTACACAAACTCTTTACATATTTGTCCCAGTGCCAGTGGTGTTAGAGCTTGATTCAGCCCCAGATGGTAGGTGTAACTTCCAGTGAACACTCATTATCTTCACTGAGGCCAGATTAAATTTATACTCTCTGTGAGTCAAAATTCGGGTTTCAGAGTCAGTGTGTACATGCCTAGTCAGTATCTAAAGAGCAAAGAAAATAGAAGGTACTGCGAGGTCTAAGGGTTTCAAAGTGCCCTCTAGGCAGACAGTTTTCCCTCCATGCAAGTACCTGAGTCAGATGGAGAATTACAGGACAATTGGCACAGAATGTGACTGCAAGACAGAGAAAATGAAATCGCATATCTTATTTAAACATGGGGATTTTTAGGGCTGTTTATACCATCTTTAGGTTACCTCTGCTTTTATTCAGTTAAAAAATATTTTTTTTTTCTCTTTGCAACAGCTATTGAGTTTCACTTAGTCTTAAAAAAAAGATGACAACATTTAGGTGGACAAATGTGTCATCAAACAGCCTCATATA